TTCATCGGGGTAACTAGTTGAAGCCATGTTCACAGTCAAACTTTTAAAGAAAGGTCCAACACTGACGTCAGATTCTCAGGAAGAGGTTCCGGACGAATGATCCTGACGCAGATAATTACTGATTTCATTTTCTGAGGCAGGAGGAGTTGTGACATAACCTAAACCACTTCTGGTTTTGTGATAATAGTCCCGAGGTTTTCCTTCAGGGGCTAGAGACATTCGGACTGGGGTTCGTCTGCCTTTCCCGAAGTTCAGACCCTGTTTTTCATTAAAATTATACCCCATTCGTTTCATCAATTGGATGGAATTGGGTTCGTGATAATGAAACTGAGGAACTCCATCGTCTTCCTCTGAACTTCCTCGCTTAAGTTGTTCGGGTTTGACTCTGCCGAACTGGATCGGCTTCTGCCCTTTCCTTTTGGACGGGACTTTGTAGAAAGCCTTTTGTGCGTCTTCCACCTCTTCATCGGAAGCGAAGGATGACTTGATTGGGAGTGTTAGACATGCCTCTGTGCACAATGCGTGCCATGAGTGGGTACTTGCATCATGATCATTTACTATTTGTCCTACTTTAATGGGTTCATCAGACAAGTACGCCAAAATAAAATCTTCATTAATGCACCACTCGCCCTCACTCGGTACATTGTTATTGTTCTCGACTGACCCAATTACATCAAAGTTTAACTCCCACAGACAATTCCCTTCTGGATCTGGTTCGATATCTGCCTCATTACCGCTATCAACGTCTTCTTCTTTTTGTGATTCTGAGTAGAAAACGGAATCAGTATGAAAGTTCTCCACTCCTCGGAAAGGATATTTTTCCGCAATCAAGGTTCGAACTTCTCCTTCATCATTAGCATATTTCATGACCTGATGTAGGGTGGATGGGACAATGCGATTTGCATGGATCCATGGTCGTCCTAATAACAGATTATAAGACGTGTCCGCATCTATGATGTAACATGCCACTTCAGACTTGAGATCTCCAATTTGGCATCTGAGTTTGATCTTCCCTAAGGGTCGGGTGCTGTTTGCATTGAACCCGAAGATGGTGGTCTGGGTAGTGTGCAATCTGTGCATAGGAATTCCTAAGACTTGCATGACTCTATAGGGCATGATGCTGAGTGCGGAGCCCGGGTCAACCTGGACACGACTGATTTCGGAAGATCCGATATACCCCGTATAGTATAAAGGCCTGTCGGATATACAGGGCAAACTTCTTGCAGTTTGCAGACATTGCCGACAAGTCTGATCTTCAGAAGTTTCAGGAATTGGAGTGACTTGGGTGATGAAGCTCTCGGTGTTCTTTAAGGCTTCGATCAGGGCTTCTTTGGTAGTTTTGACAACCTCAGGAGCTCGTATAGAGTGATTCTGGTCGGTATGTTGGCCAACTGTGCCATAACATTGAATTGGAAGGGAGTACTGGACTCCCCATGTTCTGGGTGGAGATTTCTGTTGAAACGGAGTTCTTTTTGTTTCCCTTTATCAGCCGGCTTCTTCGGGACAGAACCCCCAGCGTCTTGGGGCTGTTCCTCAACTTCTTGAACATTCTGGCCGTAGTCTTTCAAGTAAGTCTTTCCAGACCGAGTACCAGGGTTATCCCCCGGGTATGCTGCCAGGACAATCCTCTCCTCTTCTGAATCCGTAAGGGTCTTGAGGTGGTCATCGTTCTCAGTAACGGAGGGGCTAATCATGTTGGAAGACTTAGCCTTGCCCCCCTTCTTCTTAGACGAGGTATTCGTCCACTGTTGGTCACCCACTAGATCAGGATGGACCCACATGATTTCTCCTTGGGAGGTTGTGAAGGGTACCAACCCCCTGTCCTTCTGATTGTGTAAGTCGGTGTTTTTCAGGTGCATCTCCCCTTTACGGACTGGGATGACACCGTCTGCAGCAGCTACAGGAGGAAAATCACCGAATTGGACCGCAATCAAGTTAGTAGATACAGTCTTCTGCTCCGGCTTCAGAGTAAGCACATTAGCATTCACCAAGTTTTGCAAAATGTCCTTGAACACATAGCATTTTCTGGTAGGATGTCCCAAGAACCTGTGATAGCGACAGTAATTGGGGTCATCTATCTTCCCTGCTTCATCTGGCTTTCTGATTTCAGGGAGCTGCAACTTATTGTTCTTCCGAAGTAGTTGGAACAGAGTGTCCACATGCTCTTCTTTGAACGAATACTGCTTGGGTGCTCTTTGCTGATTGGGCGTCTTGCCTTGCTTAGTAGGCGGCGGTACTTGCGTATAGTCAGCTGCTAATGTCTCCTTTCCCTTAGACCGCTGGGCATTGTTCTGATTGCGTTGTTGCTGCGGTTTGGGTTGTGGCTCTTCTTCAGCTTTTATCTGAGCGACAATCTCTTCAGCTTGCTCCCCTTGTGAAACTAGTTGTCTCCAAGAGCGACATTCTGCTACTCCCATCTGGGCGAGGAGCTGAGTCTGCAGGTTGTGCCTGCAAGTTTCAACTAGAGTTGATTGGGTCATACCTGATGGGCATCGCAATGCCATGCTACGGAACCTTTCCACATAGGCTTTAATAGATTCTCCCTTCTTTTGCTTTGTGGCGAGAAGAGTAGGAACCGAAACCTCTGTGTCATCTTCGAAGAATCTGGCCAAGAAAAGCCTTTCCAAATCTACCCACTTCTGGATAGATCCAGCAGGCAGTTTCATAAACTATTCAAAGGCTACTCCTTTGAGAGTACCGATGAACA